TTTTTTCTGTGTGATTGATATGATGGACAATGGGTCATGTCTTTCAAACCAGGTCTTATTATGATATCAGTTTACTAAGGGCTATGGATAACAAATCAACACCCACAATATGCTAAAAATACACTGTACCAGAATGCATCTCTGTACACCTTTTTCACAAGAAGATAAACAGTGGATACATTTTTTAATGATAATTAATTCATATTTTAATTCTACATTTTAACATTGTTGGCTACTTCTAATTATAACCATATAATTAAGGCTACTAGTATATGAAAAGTACACTTATATAATCAAGAAGAAAATATTATGGCCATTTAAACTTATTGATGACTATTTTGTTTGTCCAGGTAAGCACATGTAATGGCTAGTGAAGTCCAGTATATTTGACCAAGTACTCAAAAGGTGGACAAAGTTACTGGAGTAATGATTGCAGTGCCTACCTGTTTTATTGATTGGACTAACTGGTGGTCAGGGAATGTTTACATATTGGTCACTTGACACTGAGGGGCTATTGTGGTCACTTTGAGAGTCAGGCAATATAATAGTTAATATATTAATGGTGTTTGTGGAGCTGTAAAATTCAAAACTTTTCAAATGTGGAAGCCATGTAGCTATGTAGTAAAAACATATACGTGTATACAGTGCTCTCTCTCTCTCTCTCTCTCTCCAGAGTGTAAGAGGGGGCTTTTTCTGAAAAAAAAAAAGTGAGGCTTTTGGATCTTAATTTTTTTATTTTTTATTTTTGCATATTTTGACGCAGAGCAGACATATTTCCTGTCCAGAATGGCTGTTCATATCAATCCCCTTGATTCAATCCTTCCTATAGGTTGGTCTCTCTCTCTCTCTCTCTCTCTCTCTCTCTCTCTCTCTCTCTCTCTCTCTCTCTCTCTCTCTCATGGTATATGTCATATTAAAAATGGCAAATTGCAGCTGATCTTAACTTGGAAAAATCACAGTGCCCTTTATTATGAAATAATAATAAATAATGGCCACGAAAAAGTGAGATATGTAAACCACAACAATAAGTAACAATTTAAAGGATAAAAAACCATTTCACTTAAAAACAGAAAACTTTTGACTTTACAGTTTGCATAGTCACTTAAACACAAAAAGAGTAAATGAAATTCAGTATGCTTGTTCACAAAACAGGTATTCTCTATTGCCTAATTAGTTTTGTGTTTATTTGCCCTCCCCAGTTTAACCAAATTTCACTTCGTTTGAAAAGCCCTATTTTAAGAAAAACAATTTCAGACATTGGCATCATTAACACATTTAATCCGAGTTCATGGACATTTAAAAATTATTGTATACAGTCCATTCAGGTTATTTTTAGTAAACCTTTCCACAGAAATCCTCTTTATGCACTTTGAGCTAAATTTACAAGAGAAAAGAATGAAGAAAGGTTGCTTTTTCATACACACATAACAGTAAACACAAATAAAAACATGCAAGCAAAGCTTTTTAGAAAAGTTGATAACCAACTTTTATAGAAGCAGAACATCTTAAGCATGGTTCTCCAAATCAGATGACTAATTGGATGGCAAACAGTCAAAACATGAGGATTATTGTTTATTTAGCCTGCATAACTT